TATACAGCATGGCCACAACAGTATAGAAGAGACATAGTTTCCAAAATAGAATTACTTTGTTCAAAATAATCTTTACATAGAATATTCATTGATGCTACTGTTAATATAGTGTTTTTGTTGTTAGGAAGTTTAGGTAGTTTCGGTCTTTTTTCTATAGGTGTATTTTTATATTCCAGAAGGGAACATTCGAAAGTCCTTCTCATATTTTCGCTGTCCTGGGAACTCACATCTATATCAAAACAATTTTGCTCTACTTTTTCGATGTTTTAGTTAATAATATTTATATTATGGTTACTGTTACTATTAATTAGGTCATCAGTCTCATCTGGAAGTGTTCTTTGGGAATCAGAAATTGAATTGATAGTAGATGTTGAGTACTCACTGCAAAGTTGTTCAAGTAATCTGTCGTCCAAAATCTTACGACTTAGAATGACACGTACTTGATCTGAAAGCCATTGGGCTGTTAAGTTTGTTAGTTTGGGCTGTAGCTGTTGGAATTCAGACAGCATTTTAGGGCAATAAGATCTAAGATTGGTTCCTCCTTTGGTAGCCTTATAGTACGCGCGCATAACACTTATATTTAATTCTTTAGTCCAGCGCATGCGTCGTCGCGTAGTGGGGTCCTCTTGTAGAATGGTAATACCTGCAGGTTCCAAGCCAGCCGGTGGCGCTCTTCGTCCCCTCAAAGATGGTACGGGGGTTCTTCTTGTGCCTCTAGGATTACATTCCATGGATGTGTAGTCCTCCGTAGGCGATGTTACGTGTGCGATTGTGGCATTAGCGGTGTTTATTCGTATTTGTCGTTTCGTTCGATGCATAATGTAACGTTAAATTAAATATTTTATAAATCTGTTTGTAAAATTTTTTAGTTGACAGTTGTCAATTTGAAAGAAATACATTTTTCTTGAAATTAGTTTCTTATCAACAGATTTTTAAAGTTTTATTTATGATGATATTGTAAAATCTATTTGCGTTGAAAATTTGTTATTTTGGAACTTGAAACAGATATAAACAAAATTCATTTTTAAGATTTTGTACTGACTGTATCATTTACTTTTGACAACGTGCGCCATTTTTTTTGGAATTTTTCGTTATTATTATTATTATTATTATAAAGATGTTTAATTAAAGTACTTTGGATATAACATTATTATTTCAATAATTAATGTTCGTTATATTATATTCAAATGGTTACAAAAGAATTAACCCAATTGAATGCTTCAACTGCCGATAATAACTACGTACATATCTTTGAACTGAAAAGTCATGTGTGGCAATGCACCCTGTTTATCATTTTAATATATTAAATATTCAAAGTAACGGCGTTTATTGCATTTTATTATTCCACCTTTGTACGCATGGTTCTTTTCTTCGTACGTGTCAACTAACTCAAGTCACTATACTTCTATACTATTAAATTAAACACTGCACTTTTATCTTCAATTTGACTCATTTATTCGAAATCATTCATCACCTATAAAGCTTAGTGAATAGAACAATTATAGCGTAATACAATTATATTGTTGTGCCATCTATTGATGCTGTGAGCATATTAAACATTGACAACTTATATGAAACTTTTATGCTTATCTCTACATTTTTTCTAAAGACATGATAATGAGATATCACAAATTGACGTAATTTTTAACATAACGCCCACCAAAAGATTCGTTCTTTTTAAAATGTAACAAAATTTCAAATTATTTCAACAATACAATACTCAAAATAAAACCGCCCACAGTGAGGTACAATATTAACAAAAATAGTCTATAGTATTAGTAAAGCCATTTATATAAAAAGAAATTAACTCTATGAGACTAACAATCATTCTATTTCTTAGGTAAATAACACAATTTATTACAAGGGCGCTTACAAATACCATTCTTAGTTTTTATAGACACAACTCTTGTGATGTTATCTGCTCCAGGATGTTTTTCAATTACTTTTCCAAGCAACCATTTGGCTGGAGGAAGATTATAGACCTATATTATTACCAAATCATCGATCTCAGGCTCAATCTTCTTTGTATTCCATTTATACCTTTGGTTTAGCGTGACTAAATACCCTTCTGACCATCTTTTCCAAAAGTCGTTTACCATTCTTTGACCGAATTTCCATCTTTGTAGTCTGTTTAGCGGTATATTTGAGTAATTTTCTTCTGGTACTACTATCAAGGGCTCAACCACCAAAAAGTGACATGGGGTTAGTGGTAATGGATCCTCAGGATTGTCACTTATATAGGATAGTGGACGTGAATTTAAGCATGCCTCGATTTGTGCTAGAACTGTAGAAAGTTCTTCGAAGGTTAGCTTTGAATCACCTATCACTCGTTTTAGACGTGACTTCATTCATCGAACTCCTGCTTCCCACAGGCCTCCAAAATTGGGAGAGTGTGGAGGTATGAAGTGCCACGTTGTTCCTTCAATAGCAAGCAGTTTGTTGATTTCATCGGGTAGCTTAGACTTCACACTATTCAGCATTTCACGCAACTCTTTATCGGCGCTGACGAAATTGGTACCATTATCACTGTATAAGTCTGTACAGTGACCGCGACGAGACACGAAGCGGCGAAAGGCTGCGACAAAGCCTTTAGCTGTTAAGTCCGAGACGGCTTCTAAGTGCACAGCTTTAGATATCATATATACGAAGACACACATATATTCTATATATGCTATAGCTCCTCGACCGGGAGACATCCGTATATTTATGTATCCCGTAAAGTCCTGCTGATTGAAACGGTCGAGATGGCCTTAATCTGACTTCAGGAAGCTGACCCATAAACTGGTTATTGTCTTGCCTGGAGTATCTTAAACGTTTCATACATTTTATGTAGCACTTCTTAACCAGTACTCTTGCACGGATTATCCAGTATTTAGATCGTATAAAATTTAACATGATTTGTGGCCCACCATGCAATGTCTTCATATGAGCATCCAATATTATTTAGTAATATGACTTTCACTATGCATAATTATCGGGTGCCAATTATCATAGTCGATTTGAGCACGGTGAATGCGACCACCAACTCTTAACACCCCATTTTCATCAAGAATTGGACTAAGAGAGTGAAGGTGGTTGTTTTTGGCAACGTGTCCTTGTTTTTTTATCATTTCAAGTTCTTTTTAAAAAAAATGTTCTATGTTTGATACAACACTGAAGAGTTTCGTCCATTTCTTTTGCAGTATCAAATTTAGGAAACTTTCTCTGATCTTTAGGTAGCTTCCACCTTAAAACTCTTTTATATACTGTTAGTACTTTTATAGTTTTAGTTAAGCACGAAAACTTCGTATATAATGGATCTTCTTCACGGCTTGCCTTTACTGTGAGAAAATGTTTGATTGGTCTTTCTTCTTCTTTAGTTATAAATGTTCCTTTAGTCTGCTATATTGAGTCGTCTTTTCTTGCAGTCACAACGGGCCCATGCTACCACAAGTTATTACCAAGAATGCGGCTTAGGGACATACCTCTTGACTCACCGTCTGCTGGATTATCGTTTGTATTGACATGACCCCACTGATCTTTGTCTATCATAGTCAAAATCTCTGAGACTCGGTTGCTTACAAATGTTGTCTATCTGCTAGGTTCACCGTTCATCCATGCCAACACAACAGTAGAATCAGAAATTGTGCAAATGGATCACCAGTTTCCTTGCTAATCGGAGCATCAAGGTCGTAGTAGACGGTGCATGCTCTGATTTCAAGCCTATCAACGCTGGTGTTCCAGAAGGCTGCGTGCTATCACCAACGCTGTTTCTCCTGCATATCAATGATATGTTGCTAACTGGTAGCATTCATTGCTATGCAGATGACAGCACTGGTGATGCCTTATATACCGACCGTGCCAATATTTCTCGGGAAAACGTCGCTGAGTACCGGGACAAACTTGTGTCTGAAGTCGAGTCTTTGCTTAACAAAGTCTCGGATTGGGGCCGACTAAATCTAGTCCAGTTCAATCCCCAGAAGACACAAGTTTGCGCATTTACCGCTAAAAAGAACCCCTTTGTCGTATCTCCTTAGTTTCAAGGCACCCTTAGTGCCTCAGCTAGTATCGGAATCCTTGGCGTCGACATATCGTATAGTGTGCAGTTTCGTGGTCACTTGGAAGGAAAAGTCAAATTGGCCTCTAAAAAGTTTGGCGTGCTCAGCACAGCGAGACAGTATTTCATGCCGGCACATCGCTTGCAACTTTACAAAGCGTAAGTTCGGCCCCACATGGAATACTGTTCTCATCTCTGGGCCGGGGCACCCCAGTGCCAGATCCTTCCACTTGCATCTAGCGCAGGGCGGTTCGAATCGTCGACGACCGAGTTCTTTCTGATCGGCTCGATACACTGGCACTGCGTAGAGATGTTGCATCTCTTTGCGTATTTTATCGCATCTATCACGGGGAGTGCTCTGAGAAATTGTTCGGACTCATTCCAGCCACTCAATTTCACCATCGCACATCGCGACAAAACTCGCGTTACCATCCATATCATCTTGATGATTGGAGGTCCACCACTGTGCGATTTAGAAGAAATTTTCTCCCTCGCACAACTTTCTTGTGGAATCAATTACCACCAGCGAATTTTTCGGACCGATACGACTTAGGAACCTTCAAGAAAAGAGCTTACACCTTTCTAAAAGGCCGGCAACGCATCTGGAATTCCTCTGGTGTTGCGGTTGTTCATGGGCGGCGGTAGTCACTTACCATCAGGTGAGCCGCATGCTCGTTTGCCCCCTCTTCTATAAAAAAAAACCAGGCATATAAATTTTCTTTAGGAATTTTCATTATATGTGATACTTCATATATCAATTTAGTACCTAGCAATGCAGCACACATAGCTAGTCGAGGAATTGATACTTCCTTGCCAATTGGAGAAACTTTAGTTTTGGCCGAAAATAAATTAACGCACACTTGACCATTATTGTCAACTGATTTCAAATAAACTGTCGCTGCATAGGCTGCTTGTGATGCGTTAGCAAATACATGCAACTTTATTTTATCTTCCTTGGCGGTATCTATCCTAGGGGATCATATAATCTTGCTATTTTTGATAGAACATGTCTCTTAGTCATTGATTCAGGTAAATTTGATAATTTTAAGACGTATTCACAACAGTCCGTTGTCCGATTCCATCTTATGCCGAGCATCTTTATCATATCGTTATTAGTTTTGAAAACTAGTGCTTCTGATCCTTTACTTTCTTCTTCAATATATTCTAATAAAACTTGAGAGTTCGTGTTCCATTTCTGCAGTATAAAACCGCCAACGCTCTTTAATTTAACCATTTGATCATAAATTTCTTTAGCTTCATCGATAGATTCGCAACTGGTAAGTAAATCATCCACATAATAATCATATAATGTTAGTTTGGCCGCTAATGGATACTTCGATTGTTCGTGTATAGCCAGCTGTTGAATAGATTTCATTGCCAAATATGGGGCACAAGCAGTTCCAAAGGTAAGTCGCAATAGCTTGTAATGTTGTATAGGTTGATCAGTATTTGGTCTCCACAAAATTCTCTGAAAGTCAGTGTCTTCGTCATTTACACGTATTTGGCGGTACATTTGCTTTATGTCAGCTACTATACATATTGGATGTAGACGCCACCTTATCAGAATGTGACGGAGATCCTGCTAAAGTGTAGGACCGACAAGTATGTTATTATTTAAAGATATGTTGTTAACACCTTTGCAGGATGCATCATATAAAATTCGAAGTTTTGTAGTTTCTTTGTCTTCGTGAATTATTGGATGATGAGGTAAGTAAATTGATTTTTCTTTATGTATTTCATACTTATTTTTAATTATGATCATTTGGTTTTGTATTAAATAATCGTTTATTTCTTTTTTATCTGCCGACTTCCAAAAAGGAGCCGGTACTCAATTCGACTGTATGTTTTTTTTTTTCGTTTTTTTTTATGTGTGTTACCTCAGAACTTTTTTCTGGGTGAACCGATTTCGATGATTCTTTTTTTATTTGAAAGCTGGTACTTCTCGTGTGGTTCCATATGAATTTGATCAAGGTCAGACCAATAGTTTTTAAGTTATTCTTAAATAACTTATATTGAAGTCGGCTGTACAAAATTTTTAATTTTAAATTAATTTTATTCTTCATACAGTTTCGGATTCTTTAGTTATTTCTTTTCTAATGACATGAATCTCCGTGTTGGTATTTCTTGTGACTTTCCTTTTAAACACTCTGGGTTAAGATTGTTGAATGGCAAGCGAACAACATAACGTCCATCAGCATCCCTGACTGTCGTTTTTTCATAAAATTCTTCGCACTTAATTTATTCCTTTTTTTGTTTCTTCTTAATTTCATCCGGCTCTTGTTCTTTCCCCCAAAACTGCTTCAGGATTTCATCATCCTTTATTTGGATATGTAGACTTATAAATTGAAAATATGATTGAGGCCTTTGATGAGTTCGACCTGCCAAACCCATCCTAAGTGAGTATTCTGAGCGATGGGTCCGTGCTTAGATGGGTGTTTGATTAAACCTTCTCGTATTATTTCACCGTGTATATCGGCACCCAGAATCATATCTATTTTTGCAGGTGAACCGTATTTAGAATCAGCTAAGGGGAAAGTTTTCAATAGCAGGCCAGTTTAGGATTTTGATTTCAGTAGACGGTAGAAACGATGTCAAGGTACTCAAAACATAGGCATTCACTTGGACAGAAAACTCAGGATTTTGCAATGATTCTAAACTTAGTTGAACCATATGCTTGACTCTCATTTGTCCATCCTCAACACCTGATACTAAACCATTAATTGAGAGGCGTTGAAGGCCTAGTGATTGTACTGTAGCTTTGGATACAAAAGATGCTTCAGAGCCTTGATCAATTAACAACCTTATTATTTGTGAGTAACCTTTTGTTGATTTGACTTTGGCAATTGCCGCAGCCAGTAAAACGTTAATTTCCGTTTCTTGTTTTGAAAAATGGGCTACCACCTTCTTCTCAATATCCGATTGATTTGTTAATTCTTATTTTTCACACGTTTCAGGGCTCTTGTTCATGTCGATATTGGAGTCGTTGAATCTGTCAATATGGAGCAGTGTGTGATGCCGTCTGCCACATCGTCGACAGCATGTGGCTTGCACTGTCTTACATTGTGAGTAGATGATAAAAAATTGAAGCAGAGTTTTTGTGACTGGATAAATTCAATTCTTTCGGTCGGAGATTGCTTTTCGAACTGTTTACATTGATATAGTAAATGCTGTCCTGAGCACATCGTACAGTTGTTACTTAATACCTTTTTTTCTTCTGAGATTGTTGCATGATACGATTTTTGTTTATGACTTTGTTTGAGGTTGCTACTATTGGACTTCTTATGACATTTTTTCCTGTATCAATCATTTCAAGTGCTCGGAATCTGGACTCAAGAAAAATTGCTACATGATTCCAGGGCGGTAATTTTTCAGATTCTAGTTGGCAAATTTGTACCTCCCACAGCCTTCTCGATTCCTGATTTAATTTTGCTAAATCCAAGTGATTTATGATGACGTCCCAGTCTGACACTTTAACTTCAATATTGCTTAAGGCTTTCAAACATGAGTTTGTTGTATCCAGTAATAGCTTAACGCCGTTTGCCGATTCATGTGTTAATGACCTTTCTGAAAATCCAGGCTTCTTCATAATTAGAATCAGTCGTGGCTAAAGTCTTAAGTAAACTCTCCGGTTCACGAGATAAGCTACTTCTGAGATAATGGAGCTTTTGAACGGGCGTTAAGTTGGCGTTATTATGGATCAGTGAACGAAATAAATCATAAAATGTTTACCATTCTTCATAGCCACCAGAAAACATAGGTAATTTTATTTGATGTAATTTTACTTCACATGGTAATGGTTGTTGAGGTATTTTTGTGATAGAACACTTTTCTTGTAGAGCATTTGCTCGTAAGTTGTCTTTTAATTTTGTTTTATACTCTATATACATCTCCTCAAACTCAATAAATGTCGTTTTTGAAATAGTCAATGTTGTCCTTTTCCTCCCTTTTAACTGTCTGTAATATTTGCGCAAGTAAAGTTAAAAAGTTGGTATTTAACCTCTCTAGATTTTTTAATCTTGCTTCAATATAATCCAGCGTTATTCTTTCTTTAGGTGATTTTTTATAATTTGCAAAAGCTCTTTTAAGATGATCCAAGTTGTCTTCCTGATTTAAAATAAGTGATTCCATTTTATTATAGTGCTGTTTCTTCAAGTTTATCCGTTCAAGAAATTGAAAAACTTTATGGCGCACTAAGCTTAGATCTTGCATATCACCACCGTCGATAATGAATTCCAGAGTTCACTGCTATATAACACTTGTCACTGTTTACGCACTCTACGCACGGTTATGTCCAGTTCCCGGGTTTCGGCACCAAATGTCGACTAACTCAATTCACTATACTTCTACACTATTAAATTAAACATTGCACTTTTATCTTCATTTTGACTCATTTATTCGAAACCATCCAACACGTATAAAGCTTAGGAATAGAACAATTATAGCGTAATACAATTATATTGTTGTGCCATCTATTGATGCTGTGAGCATATTATACATTGACAACTTATATGAAACCTTTACGCTTATCTCTACATTTTTTCTAAAGACATGATAATGAGATGTCACAAATTGACGTAATTTTTAACAGTACGATTGGAACGTAACTTTGCATTTTCTGCCGACTTCCAAAATGGAGACAGTACTCAATTCGCCTGTATGTTTTTTATGTGTGTTACCTCATAACTTTTTACTGGGTGAACCGATTTCGATGATCCTTTTTTATATGAAAGCTGATACTTCTCGTGTAGTTCCATATGAATTTGATCAAGGTAAGACCAATCATATTTGAGTTATTCTTAATAACTTATATTGAAGTCGGCTGTACAAAATTTTTAATTTGAAATTTTTTATTGCTTAATTGTAGCATTGTAAAATGTTACTTAAATTTAGAGGATAAGAATATAATATTGATAGTTTTATTAATAAAATATTGTTTTCGGTTGTGTCTATCTCATGGTTTACTTGTAACGTTTGTGTTTCATGAGCATAAAGTAAATAAAATTAAGACATAATTAAAAAAAAACAAGATAAGGATTTTTTTATTGCATCTACGTCATATAATTTCAAACGTGATCAATGTAAGTTCAACGGGATTAGTTACACTGCCAATATCCGATACTCATACAATGCTTAAGTAATCAATTACATGTAGCTAAAATATTCTGTTATAATGTACCCATACTAATTGGGGTTGATGAGTTCTCTTATTGTCTGTTTTTTTTGTTTTTTTTTATAGGAGAAGGGGCAAACGAGCATGCGGCTCACCTGATGGTAAGTGACTACCGCCACCCATGAACAACCGCAACACCAGGGAATGAATCGCAGATGCGTTGCCGGCCTTTTGAAAAGGAGTACGCTCTTTTTTTGAAGGTCTCTAAGTCGTATCGGTCCGGAAAAATCGCTGATGGTAATCGATTCCACAAGGAAGTCGTGCGAGGAAGGAAAAATCTTCTAAATTGCACAGTGGTGGACCGCCAATCATCTAGATGATGTGGATGGTATCGGGAGTTCTGCCGCGATGTGCGTTCATAAAATTTGGCGGCTGGGATTAATCCGAACAATTCCTCAGAGCACTGCCCATGGTAGATGCGAAAGAAAATGCAAAGAGATGCAACATCAAAGAATCGACTTCAGACACAAGTTTGTTCCGGTACTCGGCGACGTTTTCCCGAGAAATATTGGCCCGGCCGGTGTATAGAGCATCACCAGTGCTGTCATCCGCATAGCAATGAATGCTACCAGTTAGCAACATATCATTGATATGCAGAAGAAACAGCGTTGGTGATAGCACACAGCCTTGTGGAACACCAGCGTTAATAGGCTGGTAGTCAGAACATGCACCGTCTACAACGACCTTGATGCACCGATCTGCAAGAAAGCTGGTGATCCAATTGCACAATTTCTCGGGAAGCCCATAGGAAGGGAGCTTCGAAAGAAGCGCTTTTTGCCAAACCCGATCGAAGGCCTTCGCAATGTCCAGACTAACTGTCTTACTATTATAGTCATCAAAAGGTATATTTGGTACAGACCGAATCATCCCGTTCGCAATCCGATCGTAACATAGTTATTTAAGTCAACTTAACGGATAAAGTTTGAAGTGCTACTTCTGTTCAACTACTTTGAAGTGCTACTTCTGTTCAACTACTTTGAAGTGCTACTTCTGTTCGACTAGTTTGAAGTGGTAACGGCAGTTACTTAAAATATATTTTCCAGACATTATATATTTTTATGTTTGCTTTTGTAAGTAAACAGTCTACAGCTAAACAATGTTTTTTTCATAGTATAGAGGTTCACAGACACGACTCTGTTATGGAATTTACGTAGCATTTTCTATCGTAAAATAATAAAATATCAACGCCATGTTTGAACTTAAAAGCTCCTAAAACAGATCATTTGTCAGTCATTATTGACAAAATTTGGGATTTTCTTTTTTTTTGTTTAATTTTGAGTAAGCTTCAAATCTGACAACAATTATTGTATACGCCTTTACAGGATATGACGATAACTGGTTAAATAACTTAGAGTGCTTAATTAAATTAAGACATAATTTTTAATTATATTGTAATTTTATTAAGAAGTATTTAGATATAAACATTTAGTTTTTGGGCTTAAACACGAGAGCATTTATACACACACAAAACACTCACGCCTGTCACCCAGAAGGGTAGGCAGAGACTACGGACTTCCATTTGGCGCGATCCTGACACACCTCTGTCGCCTCCTTCACATTCATATATCTACGCATACACGCTTGTCGGTTAAGGATACTTCTAATCTGGTCCTTTTTCAATATATCGCCGATTTGGTCGATAAATCTTCGTCTAGGAACGTCCTATCCCGACTCTGCCGTTCACTTCTGCAACATAAATTTGCTTTGTCACTCTTTCCTCGTTAATTTTTTCTACACGACCAAACCACCGAAGCATTCCTTTATTAATCCTGGTCACAACATCATCTTGCAAACCACACTTTTCTCTTATCACACTATTTCTCACACAGTCATGCAGTTTCCGCCCAAGCATACTCCATAATGACCGCATTTCTACAGCATTTATTCTACTCTCATGCTTTTTCTATCAGACCCAACTTTCACTAGCATACATTAAAGTAGGGACACAGCAATATGAATTGACATACGTGCCTTATTTGACACATTCTGACTCTTCATAATAGTATGTAGAGTCCCATTCACTCTATCTCTTACGTTCACTCGTCGTTTTATATCCTTATCATATCTACCATTCCTGCTCAATAAACATCCTAAATATACAAACTCGTCCACTTACTCAATCAACTCCCCTTCTATTCTTATTTCACTTAACGTTTTATTTTCTTGTCTTTCAAAAACCATCACTTTCGTTTTACTTGCGTTCACTTTAATACCACTATCTTTTAACGACCAGTTCATTAAAGTAACCACCATTTGCAACTCGGCCGCCGTCGATGCAAATATGGCTTGATCATCGGCGTACAAAAGGAATTTGACGGTTAACTCACCCATTCTTAACCCACATTCTTCAACTTTCAAAGTTTGCAAACAACTGTCCATAAATAGGTCAAAAAGCCAGGGGGAAGCTACACAGCCCTGTAGAACACTTTTTGAATGCCAAACAAGTCCGAGTAGATCCCGTTGATCCTGAAATCGGCACTAGAGTCCCTATAAAGAGACCTTAATGCATGTATCAAACCAGCGATCGACCCAAATGAGTACAGTGTTTGCCATTACACGTTCCTCTCCACTCTGTCATAAGCCTTTTCCAAGTTCATGAACGCACAAAAAACTTCCTGGTTTTTGGCCGAAAACTGCTCCGCAATCATGCAAATGGAAAAGACTTGATCCTTACAGCCCATCCCCTTTCTAAATCCAACTTGAACATCCCAAATTTTTCCATCAGTTTCTTCCATACCTCTTTCAATTAACACCTTAGCATACAGTTTACCTACAATGCTAGACAAGTTGATACCACAGTGGTTTTTCAGTCCTGCTGCGATCCCTTTCCCTTATATATTGGGACTATAATGGCTTTGCACGAGCCTTCCGGTACCCGCGTCAGTTACCAATATAAGTTAAACAACGTGTACAGCAGGCCTGCAAGCACACCCTCTCCAGCCTTTAGCATTTCGAGTGATACTCTATCATATTCGGGTGCTTTACCTGCTTCCATGCTTTTCATTGCTTTCATTATTTCATCTACACTTATCTCCCTACCTCTCTCCACTTCTTTCGGAATTTCTATTTCACCTTATTCAGACGACTCTTAAACACGCTATCAAAGTATCTTTTCCATCTCCTTATATTCGAAACATCATTCAGCATGCAGCCATTCTCATCTCGTATAGCATTCGTTCTGGGTTGTTTTGAATTTCCCCTGGCTGTTTTTACGAGTTTCCAGAACATTTTAATATTTGCCTGGAAGTTATCAGATATCCTTCTATCATTCTTACCCATTCTTTCTTGCTTTTTCCTTTTAACAATTTTTTTTACTCTCTTATTTATACGTCTAAAGTCTGCCTTTATTCTTTCAATATCATCATTCATACCACCAGAATTACTAGCTTTGGTTACTAGTAAATCTAGCTATGCTC